GTAGACTGACAATTCGGCAGGCAATTGATGCATTGTACTATCTCCAACATCTATAAAATTAGGAAAAAAGCAAATCAGAGGGAGTTGGAGCGTCGCACAGTCTGAAGACGTTTTCTGTGAGATTAACTAGCAAATTCGTTCGGGCAACCCGAATCTCTTGTTTTGATATTCCTTCCAAGAAGAAAAATACTAACGGAAGTTCATACAGTATGCCATTGAGGTTCCGGTAGCAGGTTTTAGAGCTGTTTCTGTCAAATGGGCAGATCTTGGTTGAGTCAAAAATGCATGCGAGAGCAGTGGCCAAAAAAACGATAATTTTTCGTGGAAGACAGTACTGAGGATGAGCACCCCTGTCGCGTTTTTGGCCTTTAAAGTTTATTTTTCGATTTTGCTCGATTTCGTACTTTATTTTTGCATTCTTCACTCTTTTCCTATTTCCTCATTCTCTTTTCCTTTTATGATCTACTTACTCTTATAACACCGCTCTTTCCGGGTGAGAGTGCCACCGGACTTTGCGTCATGCATATTGCGCATTTTTCGCCTTCCCTTTGGCTTGCTGCATCTCCTCCCAAGCTACACTATGAATTTGCCGTGAAATCGTTCAAGTTGCATTGACTAGAATATACAAATTTCTTCCATTCTAGTCTTCAATAGAAGATCTCATTTTACTTAGCATATAACTTATAATTTCCGCTCGATGAGGAGCAATTTCTAAGCATATACATAAACCACTCGACTCGTCGTAGTGCAATTCACTCACTCATATATGAGAAGGTGTTGCACATCGCTCGCATGAGAACCCTCTTCGGTGCCGAACTCTGAAATGGAATTAATACAGCTATACTGTACTGTTTTGTAGCGTCTTCCTCTGTTTCTCCCTCCTGCACATTCTATCACCTAATCGGGGTTAGGCTGGGGCTCCACCAGTGGAGGTTGGAAGCGATGGCTAACGTGGGCCATGCCGAAATACGCACGTCACAACAGGTTGTTGCATTACGAAACCGGCAAATGAAGACTCTGATCACCAAACCGCACTATTAAATCCAAATAACCGAGGAATTATTGGATCCTCTGTCTATCCACGTGAGTCAGTCAGCTTTCTTCCAAGCCAGGGTTTTCATGTCAATATGCTCGCGTTAATCACGACCAATGTCCTTATTAACTCATGTCGGCCCCTGTGCTGTTGCCGTGATAGCTCATGCGGGTCATCGTGAATAATCATCTTCAAACTGCTGGTCCAATGTGTTGTGCGGGGAGGAGGGTGGAGTGAGTCTTAGTGAAAAATGCGTCTTCATTTTCCAGTGTCATGATTTTGTCAATAAAACTAGAAATTGAAATAGGCACCTTAGTTTTTTTGGAAATCTACTTCAGTATCAGTGATAATTATCACCGAACCTGACTTTACGTACTGTGATATGCACCTACATCGGGAAAGGGCTCTAGAGATTCCGCGTCATATTTTAAAAAGACGCCGGGGAGCCTGTGGATTCCTTGAAAGATCGGAGGTCAAAAGACCATCTAACTTCGAGGACTGAATGAAGGGGACTGGAACGCGTTGCTGTAGTTGTCATTTGCAGCCTCGACGATAATCAACTAGTGCCTATGACAAGAAGACAATTGTCTGTTCCTCCATAAAAAAAAACATCACTGACCCCGGTCATCTGTAGGCCGCTAGCCATGCCAACTCGAACTCACGAGCATGACCGAGTTTCTGGTGTTCGGTCAGAGTTTTGGTGCGTGCAAGCAGCTTTAGTAAATCATCGACTCCCCCAAACGAATCAAACTCCAGTTATGATTTACACGATATCGACTTGCGCCATTAATAAATTACGAGGAGTTCTTAGGGTGTGTTAATAATTGAACGGCTCGGCGTTGAACATGCAGACTTCCGAGACCATTGTGGCGTACGTTTCAGCAAACTAGCAATGACGTCTTCTCGCCACTGATATTTCGAGGAGTGGCATTCAGCCGGTGGAGCTTCGGGAGTGATGAGACTGGCATACGCAATGACACTAAAAACTACGCTCCGGCAAGCGAATAATTTGGTCTAATCTAAAATTCCGGTTGGTTCGCCACCGCACTGACAGCAGTAGGTTACCAAGTTGTTCGAACGAAAATTTCGCTCTTTATGGGGTTGTTGTGTCTCGCGCACAAAATATCGACGACAACAAAGCCGTGAACAATTACAGATGGTTAAAAAACCCTCTTCAAATCAGTCTGCAACCTTGGGGACAAATGTCATATCGACTTTGCCGGTTTGGCAGACGTCCCTGGCCAGTAGGGCTGGCAAGGCGAGCATGATCGTGACTCACGCATAGTCCCCCCTCCCCCCTCCATTCATTCCTCCAACGCCTCTCAAAGGCCAGCGACTGCGTAACCACCCTCGCCGATGAGTCATTGAGGCGCC